TGTGTGTGTGTGTGTGCGCAGAGGGCAGGACTGGGCAGTGGGAGTGTATCAAAGAGAATACCATATATAAGACATCAGGGGTAATCCTGCTCTAAGTGTCCTTCCATCAGTTTTGCTCAGTTTTTTTGTACCCGGTCTCCTCCATCATGTTGGCTCCAGCTCTGCTCCAGACCTCGCTGGTTCTCTGGTTGGCTCAGCAAACTCTGCAAGGCGGTAAGAAACACATCGGATTCGATAAAGACACTTTGTCGTTATTGTGTAAAGTCAACTTTAAATTATTATTATCATATCAGATTTTATTATTTATCTTGATTAAGATCATTTTGGATCATCTAATTCCTGTTTAATTACACTGCTGGCATCTCATGCTAATTATAAAAGCATTATTTATGGTGTCTTAAAATGATCAGATTCATCTGATTTAATTGATAGAGTTTTCAGATTCAACATGGATAATATTCAGCTTTGGGTAATAATCTTTAATATAGCTAAAAGATCTAAACAGCAGTTTAAGAAAGATGAAATTGCTGCAAAATGAAATGAATGAATTAATAAAATTAAACAGAAATAACAACAATTTTGACCTCTTCACAAATGTAAAATAATGTTCGGTAAACTTTTTTTGCCCAACTTGTATTTACTTTTATTATTTGTAAATTATGGCTGTTATTTTTGACATTTTGAGTGATAAATTCTCTTTATCAAAGAGCTTAGAGTATATATGTCAAAGACAGTATGATTTCACCTTGAAAGCTCTGATGAATCAGCATCTCCAGTGACTCACTGTCTCACTTACTTGTTAAATATCATGTCTGTGAGACTGAGTGGAGAAAAAAAAAACGACTGGACTATGTTGGCTCCGCCATCAGTGATCCCGCCAAGTCACTGTGGTTTATATTATCTAATTTCTTTGAGTCAAAGGATGCGATGAAAAGGTGGCAGTGGCAGGTAAAATTTGACGACCAATCGTGAGACGAACTAACAGGCTCCACACAGTCGCTCCATCTCTTCTCCTCTTCTGTTTTCATCAATGGATATCTGTTCCTGTCTCCTGCTGCTGCCCAGTGTTTGTCAAACACTATTGTGGCATTTGTAATACTTAAAGTAATTCATATAGACACCTATATGTCTCTCAAAGCACTCACCTTTTACTGTGGACACCTTACTGACACTCCTGCCGGTTACAATACCTTGTCTGACATCCAGCTAGTACAACTCCATGTCAGTTGTGTAGAAAACCTCTAACAAACATGAATCTTTACCAAAAATAAAATCCCAGTAATATGACTCCAAACTGCTTTTTCAAGCCAAACAATCTAAAAGACATACAAAAGTTTTCAATTTACACATTTACACGTCTTTTATGCATCATGCATGCTTCATTATTTGGTTTATTGTCATAATTTTCATACAGTGGATATCTATTGTGTACTGCATGAGCTGTTTGGATTAACTTCACATAACAATCTTGGTCCTTTTGACAGATTTAAAGAACACATTGCCATCAATGTAAAATGTTATTCCTTTTTTCAGGGGTTAAACCTCAAAGTATGTCCTGGGGGAGAGTGCTGCCAGCCAGAGGTATGTCACAAAGTTTTTTAAATGTTTTTAACTTGTGTAACTTGTAAAATATGTGTTTTAATTACTTTCACGACCATGTAACATAGACTTTTGAAGATCAGCCAGCTGCTGTCTGCTAACTTTAAAGGTCTGTTTTTGAATTACTTAGCTTGTAACTTCAGCGAGACCAGCTTTATTAATTCCTGGAAACACCAATAAGAAAACTAACATTTTCCTGAGATGTGAATTTTGCTCTCAAGTGCCTCTCCATTTTTTGAGTCTGTGTCTGTGTCTGTGTCTGTGTTTTGTTTTTGTTTTTTTGTCAGGTGCTGGTATTGGAGTAAAACCTGGAGGTCAGTGGTTTTCTTAGCATGTATTAACCATTACACCAAAGGTCAACTAAAAATACAAATATGTGTTTTTTATTTTTTAGTTATTAATAAAATAAAGATTAACACCATCGCTGGTTGAGGTTTGTGGGAGCACAAGTTTTAGCAGCGTAAATAATTAGATTTACAGATAAGTCAGGCGAAGGGTTAAAAAGTACATGTAATGTTCATTGGTATGTGTTAAGGTAACATATGTGTATCCATCCATCACATACATACAGGTATGTACTGTAGGTGACATGTACCTGGAAGTTAGGTAATCAGACATTTTTTAAAATATGTCCTGTGGGGTCAAATTAAATGTTAGTTATCACATTAGATGGGCATATGACATACGTTATCTATATATTATAATGGGGAATGTGTATCTCTGGCTCCAGTTTAGGACTAATATACAGCTGATGGACATTAAATGGTTTAATAAAATTATCAGCTGCTTTCTTTTCTCCTTTGTTCACAGCTGCAGGTGCCCTTGGAGCACTGGGGAGCCAATATGGCAGTAAAGCAATGAAGACTGGAAGTATGTTTAACTTTATGTTCTACACACAGTATTGTTGTATATTACTTTCACTGCAAGTAATGTTTGTATTTTTTTCCTTTTAAAAAAAAATCTTAGTTGGACGTTATCCAGGTGCTCAGCTTGGCGTTGGTAAGTTCTCTTAAGAAAGAATCTTTATATAATTCAGGTTGCAGCATTAGTAAACATGTATACACAGTCAGTTCTTAAGAGGCTTATTGAGTTACACACATTCCTATGATGTAGCAAAAAGCAGTTTTAAAGACCATTAATGACCATTAAAGCTCATAAAGTGCGTTTTCCAGTGTGTGAGTTTTCCATTCCTGATGCAGAAAATCTGTGTAACTAAAAGCTGAAAGATGATACTCTGCTGTTCAGCAACACTGTGAAATGTGTCTGTGTTTTCACAGGAGGTTACAGAGCTCTTGGATTGGGAGGTAGAGCAGGCCTGAAGCCAGGTGGATATGGAACCCAGGGAGCCTATGGTATAAGCAATATAAGCACTAATAAAACATTCACAGCCACCTTGCTTTATATTATCTTCCCCTGACTTCTGTTGTAGATTATTGTAGATACATGTACAATAAATCTTGTATATTAAAATATTACACTTTCTTTTTATTACAGGCGCCAGTCTGGGCACAGGAATGGGTTTGGGCACTGGACATACAAATGGAATGGGACTGAATCTGGGTCAGGGAGGAAAACGTGGTAAGACTGATGTATAGAAAGAGGAATATGTAATAACCCATTAATATTTAAAATAGATATTGATAATGAATGAACAACTTTAACCCCAGTATGTGTAGATGGCTGTTAGATCCTTAAATGAAAAACTTAAAAATCACAAGCAGTTAAACTATTTAATCATGTATGTGCATGAATAAAACATGTATATAGACAGCCATACGTACCCATTAACAGCAAGCAATCCTATTGGATAAATGTATAGATCTTATAACACATTTATAGAACACACTGTAAGCTTTAAGAATAGATTTCACTTGCAGGTAAAAGCCTAACTCATTGCTAAAAGCTGCCAGCTGTAATGATTGTGTGGTGAATGGTTGTACATTAACACACTTTTATTATACTATTTGCAAGTTATAACCATTTTTGGCCATTTAACATGAGAGATTTTTTTGCATTTCTGTGTTTGTTGGGAAATGGTAAAGCCATGCATGTCTGAACATATGAGTCTAAATCAGCTGACAGTTGTAGGTTTTTTTTTTTGCTGATGTGTCCAGGCCATAGTCACCCATATCTCATCAAACCCCACACAAACAGTCCTGACAAGTTATTTAACTGATAAACTCTTAATAGATAATAACTAAGTATGTTTTCCTAAAGCTTTAATTGTTGCTAATTTAATAATGAACATTAATCTTTTAGAGAAATAATATGTTCTGAGGCTTTAGGCAACCCAGTGTGACTACTCATAAGGCTAACTGTCATAATATGAAAGGTGCATTTAGTAAGAGACATAAAACTTGTGCAACAAATTTGATTTCTTCTTTAAGCATCACTTCCTGTTGTTGTGACTTTATTATAACTGTTGTAATGTCTTAATGGCAAGCAGCCTTTCAGAAATCTTTTGTGACTTTCCAGTTTATGGTGCTGGCCTTGGGACTCTGCCAGGTAAGTAATTGTATGGTTTGTTCCATGATTTCTTTCTGTTGTTTGCCCAAATGAGAGTATACACAGTGAATTACACTTCTGTAAGCCCCCTGCCTGATTCTTATAAAAAGTCTCAGCTAAGTAGCACTCTGTCATTGTCCGTAAGCACGATATATGGGGGCCGATTGCATCTCAGCAAATAAATTGTGTCCTTGTAAAACAGAGAAAAACCCAGGGCACTAGTGATGTAACTAGAGTGCTTGGCGGATTTACAGATTTGCTCCTTGTCCTCTGAACTTGGCTTTTTGTTTTCTTGCCAGGATATGGGGCTGTAGCTGGCATTGGCTATCCTGGAGCCCGACCGGGTAAGTGATGAATCAGGTCTTTCCTCAGAACCCCATTAGTTCTTCCATTCAGCTCAGATTTGTATGCTGGAGGGTGTTTTCTCATGTCCCATCACTCTTGCCACAAACACACCCTTGCTGCTGTCAGTTATGGACAAAAGCAGGTTTAACTGATTGCACGAAGAAAGATATCCAAGGTAGCTGGGTCCAATATTTTTCTTTAATAAAACAATTTGTCCTGTTGTTGTTCCACTGAACAACCTCTATCATCACCTCCAGTGGCACAGAGCTGCTCGTGTGTGTTGGTTCCTGAGTGTGTCTGTCAGTTAGCATGTTGAGTGAAATCAATGATAGTTCCCTTATCTGCTATCATTAGGAATGGGACTTGGATATCACACTGGACAGAGGGCTAAGGAACAAAAACCCGGTAAAAAAACCCTTCGCCACAGCAACCTGTGGTCTTGTGTTTGTTAGTCTGTGTCTGTCTTTGTTTCTGTGTTCGGGTTTGTCATGTAACCTCACTGATGTGGAGTTCATGCCAGCTTCTGTTTGCATGAAATCACAACTATCTACTGTAATATTCTCATCTGATCCTCTGTTTTTATTTTGCGTGCACAAGGAGGATTCACATGCTGATGTTTGACTGTGTTTGTCTATCAGTGTTTCATCCGTGTAGCATGTTGCATGAGTTCAGTACTTCTTATTACCAACTAAATACACCCTAACAACTCGATTTCAGTAACATGAAGGTGAAAGTCTGATGATAGATAGATAGATAGATAACGATAAGAAACGCATAAAACCTAATAAAGATAAGATAAAATAAACGACTACACTCAAGAATAACTACAGAACACACATCCGATACGATAGATAGATAGAGATAACGATAGATGAGATTTTATTGATCCCAAGC